CAGCCCTGAGCCAGGGCCCGACGTGCAAAGGTCCCGCAGGGTTCTGAGGATGTTGGTGCAGGAACTCTGCCGGGAACAATCCCCCTTGTCCCCCCAGAAACCCACAGCAGCACTGTCTCCCGTTAACAGCCACCGACAGCACTGTGCCCCGTATGATGATGCCACTTCTAATGAGCCATCTGACGATCTAAGTAGAGATTCAACAAAAGGAACCTCGAGTTGTCAGAGAGGCAGAGCTGAGAAGTACCAGCCTGTGGTGGTTCTGGACCCTCAAGAAGTGTCGGTGTGGCTGACAAGCATGAAACACAACAAGAAGGGAGATACTCAACTTGCCTGCCAGCAGCCAGCCTCTCCTTTGGGCTGTCAAGGACCCTTAGAGAATAAACATAAAAACACCAAAGTTGTTTCTGGAGAGGCCAGTACCTGTAGGAAAGCTTGCATCAGTGGCTTCAGTGCCAGCCGCTGGGGGATGCCAATAAGGCTTGGTCCAAAAAGGCTTAAAAAGAAGAGACAGCAGCAGCCTAACTACTCCCTTTCCAGACCACAGATGAGGCAAAAAGGAATGAAAAGGGGTGTGCTGGAGGTGTCTGCAGATGTAAGTCACAATGACTATTCACTCCTCAATAGTTCCCATTCCTGGGGTAGGGTTCAAGCATCTTTCTCCTTCCATAAGAAGAAGAAAGTTACTATGGATGAGAGTTCCTGCAACAGCATCCTTTACACCCCTTCCATGAAATCCCAGCTCTCAGAGCACCAAGCAATGCGGTCTGCTGGTAAAGCTCAATACTGTGCTTGGTCTGCTTCCTCCATGGCCCTGCTGGCTCCTATGAACTCCTCTTCCATTCTGGAGCTAATACTTACAGATGCAGAGAAGGTGCTTGGGGAATGCCAGCAGGAAGGACCTATTACTTTTGAGGAATGCATTCCTCTAGATAAGATGAAAGGTTGCAAGAAAATTGGAGAAGGGGTGTTTGGAGAGGTCTTCCAGATCAGCAGTGAGAGAGGACCTGTGGCTTTAAAAATAATTCCCATTGAGGGGACTGAAAGAGTAAATGGAGAATCTCAAAAGAGCTTTGGAGAGATTCTGCCTGAGATAATAATATCAAAAGAACTCAGTCTTCTATCTGAAGAGTCTATGAATAGAACTGTTGGGTTCATCAGCTTGTACTCTGTGCACTGTGTTCAAGGGGCTTATCCTAAGTATCTCCTGGAAGCCTGGGACAAATACCATGAAGTAACGGGATCGGAAAATGATCGGCCAGACTTTTTTGGGGATGAGCAACTATTCATGGTTCTGGAGTTTGAATTTGGGGGCAGTGACTTGGAGAATATGAGAAACAGGTTGAGTTCAGTGGCAACAGCGAAAAGCATTTTGCACCAGGTGACTGCTTCCCTGGCTGTGGCAGAACAGGAACTGCACTTTGAGCACAGGGACTTGCACTGGGGGAACGTGCTGGTGAAAAAAACTAGTGTGAAGACGCTTAGTTATGTGTTGAATGGGGCAACACACACAATTCCCACTGCAGGGATTCATGTCAACATCATCGATTACACCTTGTCTCGGCTGGAGAAGGATGGATTAACTGTGTTTTGTGACCTTTCCACTGATGAAGAACTGTTCCAAGGCACAGGGGACTACCAGTTTGATATCTACAGGCAAATGAAAGTGGAGAACTCCAACAGCTGGACTGAGTATCATCCACACAGCAATGTCCTCTGGCTGCACTACTTGTCAGATAAACTTCTGAAAGGTGTGGGCTACAAGAGTAAGGAAAAAACTTCTGCCCTGAAGAAAATAAAGCAGCAGCTTAATGCGTTCCACAGGGAAGTACTGAACTTTGAGTCTGCCAATGAAGTTTTACAAAACAGCAGCCTCTTCCAGTGAGGAAGGGAGCACAGTGTTTCCAAGAACTAAGTTGCTGATGCTGCCTTTCTCCTTTGCTGTGTTTATGTATGATCTTTTTAAATGTAGGCACTATGAAGAAGTGTTATGATCAGTTACCAACATGTACAAAATGCTGTAAAAAATGTCTAAAAACCCCCAAAAAAGTGTTCTGCTCTAACACGTTTCCATATGTACTTTTTTTGAGAGGTGATGTTTGAGATAATAAGAAAGATTTCTTGAGGCTCAATTCATGGTTTCAACTCCGCAGAAATTTTCTTACCTTTTCAGTCTAAGGTTTTTTTTTAAAGTTCTTGCCTTACTCTATTATCTTCCTTACAAATTCTCTTTTTAAAGAAAAAAGAAAAAAAAAAAACAAACCAAAACCAATTCTGGGCAGCGAGGACAAAGGTAAATAGTGTTGGGCCAGAGAGGGGAAACCCCACCTTTTGACTTAGTTTTAACACTGAGCATTTGTTCAGTATCGCAAAGTTTGCACCTGGAATGATGCTACAAAATGTAAATATGTAAAGGTTCTGTAGTGTAGGTTTTAAAAACACTTGAGGGTATTTCCTCCCCCCCGCTCCCTCCCCCTTTTAAGGACTAGTGAAGAGGTATTTGACGATGAACAATATAAGGAAAAGTACCTGTGTTCCTGATGCATTTTTGACTGTCATTATATTGTGACCTTGTATGCTGATGGGAACCCAAATCTGTAACTTGATGGTAGCATTAAAGTGATTTTTTCCATTTATCTACAGAAGAAAATACACAAGGTAATAAGTGTTCTTCAGTCCTGATTGTAGGTGGATCAGATGACCTAAATTTCAAGCTATACTTACATTAAATCTGAATTCTTTGTTTTCAAGTAGTCCTTCGCTAACATTCACGTACATTGAAGAAACTGGTCTAAAAAGAATGATAAATCAAACTGAGTGGAAAGTGAATTAGAGTATTAAAAATTAGTACATCTAATGACCCAGATGCATTAACTGTAATTAAGAGCTACAAGCATCAGATTTGCTGTAACTGGAATGCTGTCTATGCAGTTTGTCCGTATATACATGCATATATGCCACCTGTCAATTAGATGCATCTCTGAACTCATCTCGAAGCCTACTTTTTACAAGCTAAGCAGTTGGACACCCTAGGCACCCCTTGCCTATGACAGAGCTTTATTGTTTTGTCTTCCAAGCTCTAGTTTTGCTGTCTAGTACCACAGAAAGTGACTTGACAATCTGCAGTGCTTGAAATTATTAAGATGGAAATTGCATTGGAAACATACCAGGCATCCTCTCAATCCTTTTTGCCTTTAATTGACTAAAGTAATAAAATATAACTGAATCTTCTTAAAACTTACCTGGTAAGGACTGCAGTGAATGCATATCTGATGTCAAGGATGTGTTCTTCAGTCAGAATGGTGCTATTTTCATTTATGCTTTAAAAAAAGGAATGAAACCACTTCATTATCTGCCTGCCTTGGTCCTTTATTTCTGTACAAGAGCAACGGAAACAGTGGTGACATGGTACACGAGTGTTGGAGTAGCCCTTTATTACTATAATTACTACAGATTTTGAAAGCTGTCATTGCCTTGAAATGTTTCCCCACAAACCAGTGCTCATCTGTGCTTTCCTTAATCAAAATGTAAAGCTTCTACCCCTCACAAAACTGGACATTAAATTAATATAGAACGCTTTGGTTTCAACTGTGCTTGGAATGAAGTATAGCTGCCAGAGACGAGTTCTCATTTCCTTTTAAAAGATGCTCTCTGTTTAAAAAAAATGCTGTGTACCAATCAGTACCCATACGTTTTAAAGTTAGGAAGGTGACAAGAAAGGAATCTGACTAGTAACTTCCACCCAGATAGCCCCTAATCAAGAAAAATGCCCTAAACCTATGTTTTCATCCCCATCAATTGGAGTGAAAGCTTTTCTTGGAACACAGCTGGATTATATATTTTCATTATCTGTTCTTTCTGCTGAGGAAGGAGGATGCCAGAATCCACTCTGCCATTTCAGAACATACAAGCTTTTAAATATGTACTACACTTAAATAAGAACCTTAAAGGGTGCTCCATCTTTCACTGAAATAAGGAAGTATGAGCAGAGTTAAGATTTTCATAAGGGAAGGAAAGATTTTTCACATAGATCCAAATGTCTTAGAAGATTGAAAAGTGTAGTTTTGTGACTGATAAATAGCATGGACACTGAGTAGGAATTCTGATGTTCCCTTTCTAGTTCATCATGTGGTGAAAATAGCAATACTCACTTGGTGATACTAACGGTGATTGCAGACTTATTTTGGAATATGCTTTCTTCTACTTGCCAAATCACTGAAAAATTCGCCTATTTTGAGGGAAGAAAACCAACGAAGTATCAATTACCCTGTAAATACTCTTTAACTCTCCGGTTAAAACATGAGGGCTAATAGATTTTCTGCTCATACTTTCCTTCTGGAGAAATTAGACATTAAATAAAGTGCAGGAATATGAAGGCCCTCTCTTACCTTCAGAAAACGCATACCAGCCATAAGCTGAATTGGAAAGAATGGCAGTTCTGGCCTAGTTGTAGAAGTAGAGAATGCAAGAGCAGCTACTCAAAGTATCATTTAGAGGTATGGAAAAAGTGAAAATAATGAAATCATGATCTCTGCTTACAGCTGTCTTCTTGAATACTGGGTGCCCAATTCTGCAGTTACAGGATAAGACTGCAGAAGTTAACGGTACTGGTTGGCCACAGTGAACAGCAGGAGAGGATGGCTGCCAACAGAACAGGAATGGTCTTTAATGTTGAGTAAAAACAGGCTGGGAATTTCAACTCTGTGTCTGCTCCCATAAAACGAATTAAGTACAAATAGCCCAATAAAAGTTTGGGAGTATTAAATCAGATAAATGCTACTTCCGTTCCCTAGAACTCATGTAAAGTTTTATTTAGGTAGTAAATTAACAGGAGTCTATGCTGGGTTTTCTTTAAGCAGTCTGCTGCTAGCTGAAGAGTTCTATAATCTTACCTCAAATGTCATCTTCTTAAAATGCAAGGTTTTGGGATAATTCAAGACCATAGTTGTCATGTACGAGTCATCTCCACTGTTCATTAGTGAAACCTTCATGCTTACTTCTTTAGTGTAGCCCACCACTAATTCCTTTCTAGAAGCAGACAGAAAAATGAGATGACATGTAATTTCTAAGGGTTGTTATTAATAAGAGGCCTGAAGGTTCTGGTAGTTACTCCCTCCAGATGCTTTCACGCACAGCCCAGCAGCACACATGGAGGCATGAAGTTACAACACTATGAATGTGATGTTAGAGAAAGGATGAACTGAGTGGAAAGCAATGTAAAAAGGACAGCAAATCTTGTCTGAGAATTCGAAGAAAACATCTTAAGCACAAAGATGCCATTTTGTATGAATGATAAATGAAAAATATGGATAATGCAATAACTATGACTCACTGAATCTGAGTTGTCAAAGTTAACTGAGGAGCACAGATGGTCTTGTTGCAGTCCTCCTTGTAAGGCAACTGAAAGCAAACATAGAGCAAGCTAGATTTTAACAGCCCTAATTTTTCTAAGGTAGCAGATTCAGACTATCTATATATACACATACATTCTCTGAAAACCGAAATTCTCACAACCTCCGTCAAGGAGAAGTTGGAAATAGAAGACCCTCCAGTGCTAAATCAGTCCTAAATTGATGGTGTTTTGTAATTCAACTCCCAGGAGAAGGTTTATTAGCAATAGCATGAAAAGTCTTCACTGGGGTTAAGGTCTCGTTAAAGAAATGCCACGTGTTTACCCCTGGATTGCTACAGGGCAATAATATTAATTTATTTTCCAGAGATTGTATGTTTTTCTTGAATAAATATGTTCATATGCTGTGTCATCTTACAGCCATATTATTCTGCAGAGATGAGGTTACTTTCTTTAGCAATAGTTTTATTCACCAAGAAAAATCTGTCTGTGGCTGATGTTTCTGGAGAATTTCAATGAGAATTAATAATTAGATGTTAGGAAATTAATGTACCATCAACATCATAATCTCTAAGAGCACTGTAACTATAGTAATTAGTGTTCGTTATTGCTCAGTGTTAATGTTTTCCTAACATCTCTGTCCTCTGCTTTATGGGCAGCTAATAAAATACTGAATGATGGTAAAGACTCCTATTAAGTAGCAAAAAGCTGCCCCTTTACAGAGCTTTATGGAATTTTTTCAGAAGCTGTGATTTGGATTTCAGAGAAACTATGAAAAAGAGCTGGATTAGCTTGTAGGAATCCAGCTACTAAACTGCAAGAGAGGAGACAAGATATCAAACTTAACTTTAAGGTCATTTGAAGTTTGCAGCCTCCCAAATACTGATTTGAAACAAATAACTAAAACGTATGAAGATAATTTGAATGCGTTTTAAAATTAGAAAATTAATTTAGAATTAATAGAGAATTTAAAATCATACATTAGGAAATTGTATAGTTGTTGCTACCAAATACACCATTCAAATAGCAAGTCTTAATGTAAGTTCCAACGGAGAGCTCAATATCTGAGAAGTACTTCACAAAACACAAACCATCTGCCTTCTTCACAAGTAGCATCTAATCTCATTTCATAGAGAGGCACAGGAGAAAGTCAAAAGTGGTCAAAAGTAAAAAGCAAGAGAGAAAGCTGTTTGCTGCTGTTTTGGTTTTTTACCTGAAAATGCATTTCTGATGGCTGGTATCTATCCAGAACAGGGACAGCAAACTCCATGTGACCGTTGTTGTTATAGACCTCATGTTTAACTCTCAGAAAAACACTGGAAAAACAGTCAAAGTCACATGGCTACAAGAAAAGAAAAACAAGAAGTTGAAAAAAATATCTGGGTATTAAAATGCAGAAGTGTTCACATGTCATCTCTGTTCCAGCTTCTGTCATATTCAGGGACCTTCTAGCTCAAACGTTTTCTTTGGGTCACTGTGTTTAAAGGCTATCAGTGGAACATAAGCCTGTCAAATGTTTTCTTGCATCACTTTAGACATTTGGGTCCCATGACATCCCCTGGATAATGTGTACAGTGATTCAGCTATGCATTGTGGAACAGAGTTTCCTTATGTTTGCTTTAATCCTGTACAGCTCCATACGTCTCCTACAATTCGACATCTCCTGCCTCAGCTGTAAAACACGCCCAGCAAGTCTAACATTGAGAAAAACCCCACCCCACTGTAGTATTTTTACATTTGAAGACTCATCGTCATACAGATTCTGTTACGAAATCCTATCCTCTCAACCCTTTTTTCTGTGGGAAGTCTGACCAACGGCACCTACCAGTGGGTAAAGCTGCAGTTCAGAGCACATGTGCTCACTGACCAACAGCTTCCCGCTTGTGGTGGTGTTCTGATCTTCAAACTGCACTCTCCTCTTTGCCATTTTCACATCTAAGTCCACCGTGTAGAGAACGTATAACTGTGAAAACTCTGAAATATTTTCAAAATCCTGTTAGATGTACCAGAAATTGTCCTCGGCGCCAAGTTTCCAAGGACAGTTGTAGGACTGCAGATTTCAATCTGATCACAATCACAATTCCCGTTCATTACCTTGTTGAGACACTGGTAAAGATGAGATTGCATCGAAACATAATTTTGCTGTAACAATGCTGTTATTTTGGAAAATCAGGATTCTGTCAGGGTTGAATCTCATGCTGGCAAGAAAGTGGACAACTGGTCTCGAGCTAGTCAGTGAAAAACACATAAAGAACAGAATCAAATATAAATCTCTGAACTGGAACATTACAGGAAAAATGTTTGAAGAAAGCCTGGCAGCAGAAGTAGGAACTGCTCAGTATTTCCATGGTATTTCACCTGGACCAGGCTGCCCTATTTACAGAATTTCCAGTTTCTGCTGGGAACGTTCAGAACACACAAAATCCCAAGAGTCTGAAGGAACAGACAGCCAAAATACACCAATATGGCTAGAGTTTCAGAATTAAACATGGTGTTTATGTTTCCATTAGGTAAACACATTATCTAGGGGTTCAAATTCTCCATCTACAAATGTTTTCAAACATAAAATGCAAGAACAAAATCAAATCTGTCTGCCATATCTTAGTCCTTGTGAAGTGCACGGGTCACTCAGTTACCAGATGTCTGATTGAAAATGAGGTATGGTATGTAAAGAAATGATCTTTTTTGCCTAAATGACCTACATTATCAGTACTGAACTGCAGACATCAAAGTCTCCTTAGGCCTAGATCTGTGTTAATTGGTTCATGATCATTATCTCATACTTGTTCAAAGCTTTACACATACAAAGGCAAAAACTTTTGCAACTTGAGCTAAAGGCTTTACATTTTATATCATTTCTAGCACTGGGAAAGATTTCTTATGTCCCTCTGGCACTGAATTAAAAATAGAATCATTACATACTGCTTGGAACACAGATTCTAAATTTGTCTTTGAAGTATTTCCTCAACACAGTAAAAAATGGAACTTACTACCTACCGTAGCACAATTACATTCTCCAGTGATCCTACTGTGATATCTTGGAGACCATCATTAGTGAAATCAAAGCCACCATCAATGGATTGTCCAAAGTACCGAAGTCCTGAAGAAACTTCAGAGGCTTTCACTCTCTAAAAGGAGGAAACACCAACAAATATAAGTCATGAACTCTCTCTCCTGTCCTTGGGAAAATACACTTCTTTTCAGGAGGCTGCTGCGAGGAGGGTTTTGTGACAGCCGAGATGCAAAATACTGACTCTGAACTGCCTGTTCAGTCAGGCTTGCAAAGGGCTGTGCTGTTTTATAGCCAGCACCTGAAGCCAGCTCCTCTGCCTGAGCAGACAGGTGAGTAATTATAGTTAAGAGCAGGTCTGCTGCAGAAACCTAAGGAGTCACATAAACCATCTGACATCTGCAAATTTATCATCCATCAATGCAATGACATGTGAAAGTCCTTTCTCCCAGCCTCATGCTACAAAACCACAAGCTTTTTCCTCTCAAGGTGTACTGGAGCCAATTCCCAACAACACACGTACTTGAGAAAAAGAGCTCTTGATCTTGTCTTTATCACCATTAAAGATGTAAATGCTGCCAAAAGAGGAAGTGTTTGAAAGCTGATCTTCAAGGGGAGCTCCAACTGCAATATCCTCATAACCATCACCATTGATGTCTCCAATGCTGGCCACAGTAAACCCAAACCTTGCAAAAGGAGAGGTCACCTGCACATGTAAGTGTTCTTTGAAGGTGAATGATCCAGTCTGAAAAACATCCAAGAGGGAAATCCATTTATAGCAAACGTAGCATCAGTAGCTTTTACACGAAAAAAAAAAAGAAATAATCTTATAGCACAGTAATATTTTACTGCACACTAATAATTCTTAAAGGTGACCAATGAAGTCGTAAACATTATATTAAGTTCAAGATACCAGCTGATTCCTGGGACAAAAGATTGATCCTCCTGCCCTGAGAGCATGCAAATTCTCACACAGAAGCAGTGTCTGTGGACAGCCCTACTCAAGCAGACACACGAAGCCCTGTCTTTTCTTAAATCAGTAGCAGATTGAGTTGATCCCATGTTTGTTTCATAACAGAAAGCATCCCATCTTCTCCACCCTATTACATGAATAAACCACAAGAGGGTGCTCGTTATTTGAATTCTGTCCTGCCCAGACTTAATTTCTGCTTCCAACCATCCTGTACGTGCCCAGAGCCAATTTCAGCAGAGCACCGAAGAGGGTTTTCTGCAGGTCCGCTATTAAAATTCACACCTCATTCAAAATGACACAATTAACTTATATCCTGTATATTGTGTACAAGATCCTGTAGTTAGGCTCACAAAACATTTCATTTTCTACAAGTCCCAGGAAGCAAAGTTTTAGCAGCTACCCCATGCACATGTCTGTTGCAAGCATCACAAAGAACACTGCTTGGCAGAGCAAGGTCTGCACCAACAAATTGCCTGTGTACAGGCTAAAGGCACGATTTCATCACACTGTGATAAGCGTTACCTTAGGCACAGACTGGTTTTATTTTTCATTACTTCTCTTTTATATTCTAATGACTAAGACAGGCCTGCTGGCTTCAGCCTGCAGTCCTCTACCATACAGGGAGAGCACATTCAGTGAGAGCACAAAGGAGGAATGTTTTATTTGTCACTAGTTAGGCATGGTTGGAAAATCCCCAACATGGAGTGTTTACGCTACCAGTGTTTTTACCTCTGTCTCCAGGCGATAGACGTAAACCCTTCCTTCTTCCCCTCGAATGTGGTAAAATGGAGCTCCAACAAGGAGAAGATCTGTCACCCCATCACGGTTCACATCGACTGGGCAGAGCTCAGATCCAAAATAAGATCCAACCTGTGCTCCAGAAAAAGACAAGCAGCTCTTTCACTGGAATTCTCTATATATAGCTTTGTAGAATTAGTGTCCTTTGCAGCAGTAAGACAATTTTTAGAATAAAACAACACATATCTACTTATACGTGGATCATTTCCTCTTATTTATTTTATTACAGCCATCCTCAGGGACAGATCCTATAACCAGATTAGCAGTAACAAAATCATTATTCAACAGTTTGACAGAGGAAAAAAAGAGTAGCGCAGTTTATGACCTCTTTCCCCCTGAACCATGAGGACAGGACATAAATATAGCACACCCCATTTAGCTAATTTTTTTCCCAGTCTTTTTCCAAATTTCATAATTTCTTCTGCTGTTCCCAAAGCATTATGAACAAAGACTCTGTAAAGTACATCTAGCTAAATCCAAGTGTGTTTGGAGGAGAAAATGCAGCTCTGTTTGAGCAGACAGATGCGTGCAGCCTACCAGCCCCTGGTGAGTGAAGCCCAGTACCTGTTCTCCTTGCAGGGTTTGTTTTAAGTGGCCATCCTGAAACACCAACACTTTCCCTCTCATGCTGTGCCGTGGAGCTCCAGCCACGTACAAGGGTCCGTATTCTGTGTGTACCACTGCCACACTGTACCCTGGTACAGTCACACAAGAACAAAAATAGCATACGTTATCAGTACCATACTCTATGCCTGAAGGAAAAAGCCCACAGAGTTTGGTCTGAGACATATACCTGCATATTCAGTGAGATCCAAGAGTTCACACCATGATCTAACTGTTGGAGCCCATAGTTTTGATTACACCGCATCTCATAAAAATATAGATTAGGAAATAGCAGGTAACTTTTCTGAGAGAAAAGCCAGCAAAGCTGCCCTAGCAGCTCTAAGGGTAATGGAATAAATGACTGCCCTGAAAAATATGCTTGAACTCTTGATGACTTTTCTTAGCATTTGTCACTGTTCCTGCATGATTATCCATCACCTACACTTTTTTGGTTTCAATTATTATGTCTGCAAGCTGGAAGGTTTATCATCCTTCACAGAAGTGAAGAAAATACTATACTCTGTCTAGAAAGCAAAAAGAGATCTATTATGGGGCTTCTGTAACAAGGACGTAATGGGAGAGGGATTATCCCGACACAAACAGTCTGCAGCACCTCATGTTACCTGGTAAGACTTTATGGGCAAGACTACAGACAGGAGAGACAGGGATCATGAGGCACTGGAGTGGATAAGCAAGGCTTTATTTGTCACCAAGACAAGATTGGTTGATTCACAAGCTATTTCTTCTCCAGACACTTGCATTAAGTGAAATATTTATTAGCTCTAAAAATGCCCTTCATTGCAAGTATTCTTGGACAGTGAAACCAAATGGCATGTGTTAACAGAGTAGTACCACAAGGTGTCATAACTCATAGGAGAAAACAAGTTGTATCTTTCCCAAAACAAGGAGGCAGAGAGTGTTTTCATCAGACTTGATCTCCCTGCTAGAGAAAATACTGGAAATCCAGCGTGATGCAGCAGGAGGTGGCCTTCATCAGATAAATATTGTCATTAATACCACACTGCACTGAACGCCAATAAACTAAGCGAAACTGCAGTCAGGTTGTTACTTGATCTCAGAGAGTGGTAAGCTCATTACCTAGGTAACTGTATTTTGCTTGTTGGGCTGCTTCTTTAGATTCATTCAGGAAAGCAGCAGTTTTGGTTGCCAGATCATACAGCAGAATACCACCAGACCAGTCAAAGGCCCCCACTGCACCTAAGATTAAGACTTGCTGCAGAAATAACATTAGCAAATTAGAAGAGATGAACACAGAGCAATTGCTTCTATCACTATGCAAAACAATTTAGTATGGAGCAATGTTTTCTTGCTTATAACTTCCCTGACTTGTGCATTGGAGATCCAGTTGGCAGCTTTGATTTCTGCCAGCAAAATCAAAGTCAACTAGAGATAGCTCTTTTGCCCAGTGGAATAAAAAGAATCCAGTGGTTAGAACAGAGGTCATGAGATAAATCCCATCCCTACTGACAGACTATATAAAAGTGATATTTTTGCTTATCTGACACATTCAAAGCAAGCAGTGGCTTGAGGAGAAGGTTTGACTACATGGATCTCACACTTTTGTATCACCATAGTTTCTTATGGGAGACCTCCTGAATCCTTACAAGTATCACAGAAGCACAGCATACAACCATTTAGTAGGGTTAAACGCAGAACACTTACTTTATCCAAGATCTGCACATTGAAACCAACTTGTGCAAGTTCATATTCCAGAGCATCACCCTGTGTACCTGAGGATGCAGCAGAAATAGGGTAAGCTACTTTTTCCTTATTTCTCAAAAGGTACTAGTGAAATAAAAAGGTTGCTATTTACCTTCTATACCAATAATACTCTGCTGCAGGGTTGAAATCAGCCCATCTAATGCTGAATAATTGGTCACCTGAAATACGTTAGTGTCATCTGGACCAGATGCAATTAGCCGCAATTCATTTAGGGCCTTTGGTTTTTTGAAGGCATCTCCCACCTGCAGAAGAGATGCAAATCAATCAAAAGAAGCAGCCTTTAGGGGCTCCTTACCTACTTCCTTCAACAGCCTGTGGAAAAATCTCAGCTTCAGCCACTATGTGTAAACCCAGAAATAGCAACTGCTTTAGAAACCAATGAACTGGACAGCCTCAGTGTCTCCTGGAGCCAAACCATTACAAACCTCTTCATGTAACTGGCTGGTGCTGTATTCAGTTATATACCTTTGCTGTATCCAACAATTAATTTTGGAAATGAACTAATTACAAGATATCACAAAATAGAACATTTTCTTGTCCTGAAAGAATGATGA